TTTCATTCGTTACAAGAATTGAAAAATGAGTTCCCGTTAGAGGACTATTTCGTGGCCAACGCTAGTCTTGAACAGGCATTCCTCTCAATGGTGGCAATGGATGAGACATCCAGAAGAGTCGGTTACGGTATACTTCATAATACTAGTGATGCTAACGATACAAACGAGTGAAGACTTGACGATAAATCAAATGATTTAATATAATTATGATAATAAAGATATGACTGTATGTGTGAATAAAAATTGATTTATTTCTCAATTCAAACCTAAATGAATACTTTTTTGGTGTCTAATCCCTAATCCGTGTCGATTAGGATATTAAAGTGTCTAATTTGCCACTCTTTGAAAGTAATGCGAACTGAAATCCACGACTGAATCAACAGCAAGAATAGGCAGACATTCATTAACACCAGGGATGAGATGAGGGTCCAGAAGAGCAGCCATTGGTTGGCGTACTCTTTACAGCCGGACTCCGTGTACTTCATCGACACAATGGCTATAAATATTGTGAATCCCGTGAAGAATAGAGTCAAGAGGAACGACACTCTATTCACCTCTTCGCCCATCAGGTACTTCCAGAAGGTGTGCCCCACTTTGTGGACCCTGACGTTGAACTCCTGGCGACATACTCTGCACTTGACGTCTCTATTCACTTGAATCCATTTCGACAGACACTTGAAGTGCACGTAAGCGATGGATCCGCTGCAGAGACACGGCTTCATGAGTGACCCCTCACTGTCACCCTCTCTGCAAATACGACACTCTTCGGTACTCTTTGTCTTCATTTGTAAGATCAGTAGATATGAGAAGTTTAGGACATAAAACAGTTTTTAGAAATTTCAATAATAAATCAGTTTTAATGTGAAAATTCGTATATTTATTGTTATGTTTTGAAAGTGTGTTTAAAAATATTATTATCCATTATTTGATTGATATAATGAGTTAATCCTTTCCAACTCCAAGAACTCCAATGCATTCATTCTTATGGATTCATATCTGTATTCTTCATAAGTGTTTCTCTCGTAGTAATGGTTGGGTTCGCTCACAACCACTGATGGGACACTTAGTTCAGCCCTTCTGTGCCTTACATTCACCACATATTTCATGACTAAGAAGACAATTAATCCGATAAATGAGGCGCCGATGAGAAAGGATACCAACATTGATATGACTACCAAATGAACCCGGTACCAATTTAATTGAATGGGTACTGGATTCACATTGACATCCGTTTTGTTTGTGTATTCAGAATATTTACTAAATCTTTGGTAATCACTCGAGTTATGCACTAAAATTTAATTAAACATTAAGTGAATATAACTTTTATATAAATTGTTTTGTTATTATAAAACTTACAATCCGTGCCTTTCTTAAGACATTTAGGTTGAGAACCGCTCCAAAAGCCTTTAATACAGACTCTCTTGTTATCTCCTCTTAACTCAATGTCCGTCTCATTGCCGGTACGACACGAATATATGGCCATTGAGTTGGTCTCTGCATTAGGCGTTCCGTTCAAATAGTTTAGGTATTTGTACTCCACGTGAATGTAGT